CTGTCTGAAAAAAAAGAAAGTCACGTTTTAGAGAAGAAAAAAATCACCCACTGACTTTCAAAGCTGCTAACGACTTTCTACTTCAAGGACCTTGATAGAAATGTAGTGGAGTGAAAAGTACAATATTTGTCTTTCAAATGTAGTGAAGTTAAAGTCATAAGTTCCCAGAAAAAATAATACTCAAGTAAAGTACAGATACTCAAAAAGTGTACTTAAGTACAATACTCAAGTAAATGTACTTATTTACTGTCCGCCTCTACACGCACACACTCACACTCTCTCACACACACACACACACACACACACTCACAAGCACACACACTCTCACTCACACACACACACTCACATGCACACACACTCTCACTCACACACACACACACACACACAATACTGTGACTGCTGAAGCACCAGTGATCTCTCAGAGCTGATGAGGATGTGTCTGTGTGTTTCAGTCGTGGAGGATTCTTCTGTTCGCCGTGTTCAATCTCATCTGCACAGCCTGTCTGCTGATGTGGAGCAGCTCCACCAACAGCATGGGTGAGCACTCTCAGCACACATTACCCAGCATGCCCCAAACCACAGAGATCCGCTCTTCAATCTGACCGCCAGATTGCTTTGTGACTCTCAGAGCGAGTTGACTGCGTCCTCGTGTGTCTGAGTGGACAGACTGTGTGTGTTTAACACCTTCAGAATCATTCACATAGACGCTGATTGATGATTCTAATAGAAATCTGATCGTTGAGCACACACCTGATGAAGATTTGCAGTCCGTTCTGAGCATCATGTAGGGCCTTTGGATTTCAATAGAACATGCACATGAAGCACGGAATCCAGACATAGAAATGTAGTTTATTTGATAATGCGGAATGTCACAGAATTTGGATGAATAACTCAAAAGTAGAGATGTACAGTTAATGAAATACTGATAGTTTCTGTGAATATTAAAGCATGTAAATTCTCATGAACTTGCACTCATCAACTTCATCAGCATCATCAGCATTTCACCATTTCTTTTGTAAAATCTATCGTCAGCTACACACAGAAACTCAGACAAAAAAAAATTATGATGGAATTATATTACTGTTAAGTTCTATAGTAAAATGTGTTTCTCAACGTAATAATAAAAATATCTCAGTGCATTGAAACATTATTTTTAATGAATATCACAATTTACCATCCATGTTTTAATTTAACAGTAAATCTCTGTTGTGCAGGACTTTGTTTGCCAAAAAATGAAAGGAATTGTTAAAATTTTATTTGGTTACCTTTTAAAAGATGACTTAAATTGTTGAATATGCATTCATTTGTTTACCACAGTTTTTGAATACAAATGTGCGTCAAATCATAAAATAAAGAATCCAGAAAAGTTAGAACAGACAACACAATTTTTGAAAAATAAATTAAAATAATAATAATAATATTAGGCGGAGCTAAGATAAAACACCAGTGTCAATCAACAATGGTGGGAGGGGCCTGGGTCTGTGTGACATCACATTGCCAAGAAGCTGGGAACAGCTTGATTTGAGAAAGGGGATATTATTTATAGTGATTAAAAAAATAAAAGCACTGGGTGGATTTTATCATTATGGGGTGGATGTGTACACACTGCCAACACACATTTATGTTCAAACAACATGTAAAGGTGAATTTTGCATCCGATGACCCCTTTAATACATTTATTTTTTATGGCTAAATTTGCTGAAATGTGCTAATATCTCTGTAATACACTGCCTGTTGTTGCTGACTGTGATGCTTTGTAAGTTTCTTTGCTGAACTGCTCTGTGTGTGAGTGTGTGTGAGAGAGAGACAGAGAGAGAGCGTGTGTGTGTGTGTGTGTGTGTGTGTGTGAGTGAGTGTGTGTGTGTGTGAGTGAAGTATCACTGCGCACCACTGTGTCTTGAGCAGGGGGAACGTGATACTCATGTATTGAGCTCTCCAGTAAAAACGATCTTAACGTCAATGGCCACTGCATGTAAGAAGCACCTTCAGAGCTCCTCTGTCCCACAGATGGCAGACGCAGCGCCCGCGGCCATGACTTAAAGATCAGACTCTGTCTTAAGGTTCGGTGAAAAAGGAACCAAAAAATGATGCGTAATGTAGAGAATCGTGAGCTTGGCCATGTGCGTTCATGAGAGTTCACAAGAGCGGCAGTTCTCATGCTTAAATCTTGAGTTTGATGCAGCCCAAATTAAGCAAGTTTGTTCGAACCACTGTTCATAATAAAACCAGTTATATGCAATAAGAAAACAAATCAGGTCAAGTTTGAACTCATGCTGAATAAACCCTAGAATTCATCCGATAACTTTGATTGTCCAGTGGGACAGCGAACCGTTAGAATGTGCAGCGCAAGCTAACTGCATGTAAACCGATAGCTGTACGACTGCAAATAATGCACTGTGCTCACAGTGATTCATCGTGGTTTAAAAGAATTGTTCACCCAAAACTGAAGATTAGTTGATATGTAGGCCATCCAAGATCAGGATGAGTTTGTCTCTTCATCAGATTTGGAGAAATGTAGCACTGCATCAGTGTCTCAGCAATGGATGCTCTGCAGTGAATGGGTGCCGTCAGAATGAGAGTCCAAACAGCTGATAAAAACATCACAATAATCCACAAGTAATCCACAGCACTCCAGTCCATCAGTTAACATCTGGAGAAGACAAAAGCTGAAACAAATCCAGCATTAAGACATTTTTAACTAAAATCAGAGTTCATAATCCATAATAACGCTTCCTCCGGTGAAAAAGTACATCTCCTGTTGTCTCTCACATCAAAATCCAGCCAAATATTTGTTTAGAGCTGTTTTGGCTTAATCTGTGCCTATTTCTCTCCTGATTCAGACTTTTCAGTGGAGACAGCATTATTATGGATAGAACTTGTATGGAATGCATCTGTTCTGCGCATATATCAGATATTTTACAATCAGTTCAACTGTAATGTGATACATTGGTTTTGTGAGCAAGTGATTGTGGGCATGTACAGTATGATAGCTGAATATTCATTTTGATGTTTGGATTTCTTAAAATAAGAGTTTTTAAACGCATCACTTAATCTAAATGTAAAAATGTGAGTATGCACATTTAAATATCTAAAATTAAACCAATGATCTCTGGTGCCTGTTAACCAATAATAGGGCTGCCCCCTAATAGTGGACTAACCGTTAGTCGACCAGAAGAGGCTAGGTTGTCCAATATTTTATTAGTCACTGGAGAAAAATAAATAAATAAAAAACCACATTGGCGAAGTCACGCAGATTGTTAAGGTGGCGGTGCCGGTCACTTGCGCTTAAAATACTCCCTCATTTGTGGTCATACAGATAAGAGTAATACATCTTTCAAATCTGTGAAGACTCTGTTTATTTGTGTGCACTCACAATAACAACAAAACACTGCGCTTTTGTAAAATAATGAAATCAATCAGAATGTGCTTTCTGCCGTCTCGGTCTCCGTGAACCTGAGCGCGAAACTCTTCTATTGCCTTGCAGACATTAAAAATATATAGGCCTATATCTATAGAGAGCGAAATGTCTTCTTTCAAATGGAAGACAAATATTCTCCGATTATGTAATCCGTATGAAACATGCATAGAGCTGCATCACTACTGCAGAGATAACAAGTCAGTGTCGCCGATCTCTTAAATCGAAAACAAAGAAAGCACTAGTTTATCAATGAATTATTAAAATGACCTTCAGAGCTCCTCTGTCCCACAGATGGCAGACGCAGCGCCCGCGGCCATGACTTAAAGATCAGACTCTGTCTTAAGGTTCGGTGAAAAAGGAACCAAAAAATGATGCGTAATGTAGAGAATCGTGAGCTTGGCCATGTGCGTTCATGAGAGTTCACAAGAGCGGCAGTTCTCATGCTTAAATCTTGAGTTTGATGCAGCCCAAATTAAGCAAGTTTGTTCGAACCACTGTTCATAATAAAACCAGTTATATGCAATAAGAAAACAAATCAGGTCAAGTTTGAACTCATGCTGAATAAACCCTAGAATTCATCCGATAACTTTGATTGTCCAGTGGGACAGCGAACCGTTAGAATGTGCAGCGCAAGCTAACTGCATGTAAACCGATAGCTGTACGACTGCAAATAATGCACTGTGCTCACAGTGATTCATCGTGGTTTAAAAGAATTGTTCACCCAAAACTGAAGATTAGTTGATATGTAGGCCATCCAAGATCAGGATGAGTTTGTCTCTTCATCAGATTTGGAGAAATGTAGCACTGCATCAGTGTCTCAGCAATGGATGCTCTGCAGTGAATGGGTGCCGTCAGAATGAGAGTCCAAACAGCTGATAAAAACATCACAATAATCCACAAGTAATCCACAGCACTCCAGTCCATCAGTTAACATCTGGAGAAGACAAAAGCTGAAACAAATCCAGCATTAAGACATTTTTAACTAAAATCAGAGTTCATAATCCATAATAACGCTTCCTCCGGTGAAAAAGTACATCTCCTGTTGTCTCTCACATCAAAATCCAGCCAAATATTTGTTTAGAGCTGTTTTGGCTTAATCTGTGCCTATTTCTCTCCTGATTCAGACTTTTCAGTGGAGACAGCATTATTATGGATAGAACTTGTATGGAATGCATCTGTTCTGCGCATATATCAGATATTTTACAATCAGTTCAACTGTAATGTGATACATTGGTTTTGTGAGCAAGTGATTGTGGGCATGTACAGTATGATAGCTGAATATTCATTTTGATGTTTGGATTTCTTAAAATAAGAGTTTTTAAACGCATCACTTAATCTAAATGTAAAAATGTGAGTATGCACATTTAAATATCTAAAATTAAACCAATGATCTCTGGTGCCTGTTAACCAATAATAGGGCTGCCCCCTAATAGTGGACTAACCGTTAGTCGACCAGAAGAGGCTAGGTTGTCCAATATTTTATTAGTCACTGGAGAAAAATAAATAAATAAAAAACCACATTGGCGAAGTCACGCAGATTGTTAAGGTGGCGGTGCCGGTCACTTGCGCTTAAAATACTCCCTCATTTGTGGTCATACAGATAAGAGTAATACATCTTTCAAATCTGTGAAGACTCTGTTTATTTGTGTGCACTCACAATAACAACAAAACACTGCGCTTTTGTAAAATAATGAAATCAATCAGAATGTGCTTTCTGCCGTCTCGGTCTCCGTGAACCTGAGCGCGAAACTCTTCTATTGCCTTGCAGACATTAAAAATATATAGGCCTATATCTATAGAGAGCGAAATGTCTTCTTTCAAATGGAAGACAAATATTCTCCGATTATGTAATCCGTATGAAACATGCATAGAGCTGCATCACTACTGCAGAGATAACAAGTCAGTGTCGCCGATCTCTTAAATCGAAAACAAAGAAAGCACTAGTTTATCAATGAATTATTAAAATGTTAAAGCAGCCTCCTTACTGTTTTTCCCGACACATTCATAATCATTACTTCTGCCGGTGCGCTGTGGCAAGCTTTATGCGCTCGCTTAAACGCTTATTAGGCTATGTATGCAATTAAAGGCACATTATTATGATTTAAATTGTTAAACGTGTGATTAGGCGCATAATGCTTCAGAAGAATGACTACTAGTCGACCAGACACATTTTTAGTTGAGCGCAGCCCTAACAACTAATATGATATCAAACACTTTTTTTTATTTTACTGAGAAGCAAGTCTCTTAGATCTTCTTGCGTGTGTCTGTAGATGTTTGGGAGGGTTGAAAGCGTTTACTGTGTGATCTGAAGCAGCTCGCAGTGTGTCATTGTTTCTGTTCCCTGAGAAGCGATCGTCAGATTGAGCTGCAGTAAAATCCCTCCACGCCTCGCTGTGATGCGAGTCTGCTGTGGTCTGTGTTGTAGGTTTCTGTTGTGTAATCGTAAGGTTTTGATGTGATAGCGGGGCAGGATGTTTTTATCGTGCTGCTCGGCCGATATTTCTTGCAGGAGCAGCAGTCTCAGTTTACTTCCTCCCACCGCTTTCCGTTTTCCCGCCAGGTGTTAGTTTGTAGTTTGTCAATAAAGCTTTTAGTTTACATCTGGAGCTATCTATTGTTATTTTAATGTGCCGCGTTGACAGACACCCGAGCCGAGCCGCTCGATACGTGTTCCAGAACTCGATGACAGCTGAGCGCTGCAGTTTGCAAATCTTTTTTACCGAAAGTACCAGCTAGCAGAGAAAGCTGATACTCGCCCTGGGTCGCTGCGACTGCGCCTCGCTCGCAGGCTCCTGAGCGCTTCGCTTGTGTTTCGGATAACCGCTCGGCGCTGAGTGCTTTAATGGGGTCGAGCTCCCGCGAGGCCTGCAGTGAGACGGCTGAAGGTCAGGGTTCGAGGACGATCAGATGTGTTTTGATGCTCTGGCCTGTAGATGTTATTAAATATTCAGCTAAAGATCCTGGCTTGGTTTACCGCTGCGTCTTCATCTCCTCTTCTTCTTCATTGATTAGGTCTGTAAACATACACAAGTCACCTTAATCTGCACACTGTGTGCTACAAGATGTGTGTCTTCTGCGCCCCAGCTCTGGGATTTATTCATGCATCTGTCATTAGAGCGCCTCATTCAGGTTTGGCTTTTTGGATGGTAGGGGTGGATGATATGAGCTAAAATTCATATCACGATATTTTACACTGTAATCATTCTAATATGCTGATTTGCTGCTCGAGAAACATTTCTGATTATTATCAATGTTGAACACAGTTGTGCTGCACAATATTTTTGAGGAAACTATTTTTTCACGATTCTCATAAATATTTGAAATTGTTCTTTGTGTCAGAGCGCTGGAGTTCGTCAGAAATAGAACGCGGCATCAGTTTACTGTCATGGGTTTGTCACGCCGCATCCACAGCAGAGAACATCACTGGGTTCTGTTTGCTTTTATCACATCGCGCCGCTCGCGTCTGGTGTAGACATGTTGTTTTGGTATTACCTGGCACTGGAAGTCCTTTCACAAACTTGTAACTTATGCTTAGAGCAGAACCATGCATCGTTCATTTATATTTCTACATGGCGTCCTGCAATACAACTCTGATTCTTCAATGGCACCATCTAGTGGTCTGTTACTGATACAACCACAACTGCTACAACTGATAACGGAGCGCTCAAGCGGGTACTGCGAGTCATGTTGAGGTCATTAATATGTCAAATTAAAATTTTGCGCTCAATTATTTACTTATCAGACAAGTGGCCGCATGATAAGCGGGAACATTACGCAGTGGAGTCTTTATCACCCTGCAGAGGTTTCTTTTGCAAAATAATCTGCTGACTGTGCACTATCCCTCAGTTTGGGAACCACTGGAGTAGGCGATTTGTGCTCTATTAATTTGGTCTGTTACGATGCTTTATGGATTTGATTACTAATGCCTGTGTAGTACGGCGTTGCACACAGAGGACAAAAACGTTCAGCCTCGACTCTTTATCGTCATTTGTGTTCAAATTTGCAAAGCGTACCAAAATGAACAAAACTATATAAATGAAGAATTTTTATTCATGAATATATAACAGTATCCACGGTATAGCAAAATCCATATCATGGAACAACATAATACCGGTGGTCACTTTCATACCGGTATAGCGCCCCCTATTGGACGGTGTGGATGGGCTCAAGTGCTGTGCTTTGTAAATGACTGAACTCTGGTGTATTAGTGTCTGGGAGAGTTTTCAAATATGTCGAGGACAGATTTAGAGCAGTAGTGTTGTACAAATATATATTAACAAATTTCACAGTAATGATCCATGTTAGGGATGGGCGATACCATTTATTTTGTTTTCGATACGATACCGATACAATACTTCTAAACTGAACTTTAAAATTATGAAATTTATTAAATTATTAAATAATATATATGAATTATTAGCTAACATAGGTTATTTGTCCAATTCAGTGCATATTGTATGCATTAATTTTTTTTGTTAAATAAACAAAAGCTGGTAAATAAAACACACCTTAGTAACAATATGTATTTATTGGCTCTTTCATTTATTAGGAGGTACTATCCCGCCATATTGCAGTTTCTCCCATTCATAAGTGTAGGAGTGAATTGTCTTTGTATTTCTATAGTCTTTGGTTAGCTGTGCTTGTGCAGAGTCTGTGTATTTCATGCTGTATGTGAAAAGACAAACTTGTTGATTAATAACCAGCTGCTTTTATGTAGACGGTAAAAATGTGCTTACATCATTATTAGGGCTGTAATACGAATACATTTTTAAAAATCTATTTAAGTATATGATGTGCCGATTAATTAATGAAATTAATGACAAATAATTTGCACACTTTTGGTTGAGAAAATACCCCAAAAGATCATTTTAAGTCATTATTGTGTTAGATGAGAAAAGCATTGAATAGACACTACAAAAATAGCTATAGAAAGAAATCATTTGATTCAACATTGAATTTATTACACATACATTTTTAAGGCTATAATGTGGCCTAATGTTGTTTTCAGAAGCGGCGTCTGAAGTGGCATTTAGGTACATTTACACAGACTGAATGCATTTATACTTCAATTAGAATGCTGTGAGATTAATGTGTTTTTGATGAATATTGCAATCGGACTTTTAAATGAAATTAAACTTTTTACACTCGTATAACTGCATTCTAATAGTCTCCATCACAGAGTCAGTCAGTGGTCCTGTTCATCAGTGTGAGATGACTGACAGGTCATATTATATTTATACATAAATTATGTATATATATATCTGTCTTCTGTTTCAGCCTTAACCGCATACACATACCTCACCATCTTCGATCTCTTCAGGTAAGTGTCATCTGTTGGTCATTAAAAGCTTGTACAATTGTGTTTGTGTTTACCAGATACGGATACTCAAAGACTTTACTGCTTTCCTTTGATTCAGCTGTTACACCAGTGATACACAATCATCTTAGGCTTATAAAGACAGTATATTAATGTGTCATTAACCATTAATGGGCTTAAGTGTGTTTACAATCAGCTAGATGCACTTCAAGGCGATACTGCATAGAGTTGTGTTGTTTGTTAAGCATCTGATGCTGGTGTCTTTGGCTCTCACAGTCTGATCACCTGTCTGCTGAGTTTCTGGGTCACCGTGAAGAAACCCAGTCAGGTGTACTGCTTTGGGTAAGAACAGTTCATACTTCAGATATCAATGTGCTTGTTTTCTCACCTCAAAGTGCTTCACACGTGCAACACGGCGTTGATAGTAACCATAGTACATTAAAAACTGTGACTCAAATCAATGGTCTATTGGTCAAACTTAATAAAAGTATGACAACTTTAACACCATTACACAATTCATCTGACCTCAAACTAGGACCAGTTTTAAAGTTGTATTACATTTTTGTTCCTGAAATCCACTCTTCTGTTGGGATCAGAATAATCCCATTTTTTGGGGATCAAAAGTATCCCAATCTTACTAAATGTTTTGAACAACACAAACTGAGGATTTAATCCAGATCAAAACCAAGATTGTATTTTGTGATCTAATCCGAATTCAGAATGCTTTTTTTTTTTCTTTTGAACAACCCATTATCACGATCCGATCCGATGGCTAGAATCTGATCAGATGACGTCTGAACGGCTGGCCCCAGGGCTTCAGTGATTAACCAGATGTGCCGGTTGTGTGTGTAATGCCAGGTGTTTGTGTTGATGTGTGTTTTGTGGCCTCAGCTTCGAGCGTTTGGAAGTGCTGGCGGTGTTTGCCTCCACTGTGCTGGTTCAGCTGGGCGCGCTCTTCATCCTGAAGGAAAGGTGAGATGCGTGTGTCTCTGCAGAACTCGATCACGTCGATATTTCGCTGCTGTGACCCGACTGACTCGCGCTCACACTGGCCTGACCCACACACACATGCAGATGAATGAGCTTGCTGGTGCTGGTTTGGTGGTTTCTCCTCACCGTAGTTTTTCAGGAAAGGCACTGGCATGATGTTATTCAGCATAACCTCCCAGATGTGCTCCATCGTTACTGGATTGAGTACTTGTCTCTGTTTGTACTGGTGTGTGTGTGTGTGTGTGTGTGTGTTTCTGAGTGTGTGTGTGTGTGTCTGTTTTCCTGTGTCTGTGTGTGTGTGTTTCTGAGTGTGTGTGTGTCTGTTTTCCTGTGTCTGTGTGTGTGTGTGTGTTTCTGAGTGTGTCTGTGTCTGCGCGTGCATGTGTGTGTGTGTTTCTGAGTGTGTGTGTGTGTCTGTGTGTGAGTGTGTGTCTGTCTGTGTCTGTTTCTGAGTGTGTGTGTGTGTGTGTGTGTGTGTGTGTCTGTGTGTGTGTGTGTTTCTGAGTGTGTGTGTGTGTCTGTTTTCCTGTGTCTCTGTGTGTGTGTGTGTGTGTGTGTGTGTGTCTGTGTGTGTGTGTGTTTCTGAGTGTGTGTGTGTGTCTGTTTTCCTGTGTCTCTGTGTGTGTGTGTGTGTGTGTGTGTGTGTCTGTGTGTGTGTGTGTTTCTGAGTGTGTGTGTGTGTCTGTTTTCCTGTGTCTCTGTGTGTGTGTGTGTGTGTGTGTGTGTGTCTGTGTGTGTGTGTGTTTCTGAGTGTGTGTGTGTGTCTGTTTTCCTGTGTCTCTGTGTGTGTGTGTGTGTGTGTGTGTGTGTCTGTGTGTGTGTGTGTTTCTGAGTGTGTGTGTGTGTCTGTTTTCCTGTGTCTCTGTGTGTGTGTGTGTGTGTGTGTGTGTGTCTGTGTGTGTGTGTGTTTCTGAGTGTGTGTGTGTGTCTGTTTTCCTGTGTCTCTGTGTGTGTGTGTGTGTGTGTGTGTGTGTCTGTGTGTGTGTGTGTTTCTGAGTGTGTGTGTGTCTGTGTGTGAGTGTGTGTCTGTCTGTGTCTGTTTCTGAGTGTGTGTGTGTGTCTGTGTGTGAGTGTGTGTCTGTCTGTGTCGTAGCGCACTCTTCTCACTCCATGATGTATGCGGAGTTATTCACTGCAGATGATGCATAGTGTGTGAATGTTTGTGTGCAGTCTGTGTGGACTCATCCCGGCGCTCCGCAGCCTTCTCCTGCCCAGAATGAACCCGTTTGTGCTGATCAACCTCGCTGGAGCTTGTGCTCTGGGCATCACGTACATGCTCATCGAAATCAAGTGAGGAGACCGCACTGTCTTATACATGACGTCACAAATGCTTCACAAACAACACTTCTATTGCTGTAACTGTACATCCCTACCACAACTGTGCGTTTTAACTGCTGCATATATGTGACCCTGGAGCACAAAACCAGTCATAAGGGTCAATTTGCATAATCTGAAAGTTGAATAAATAAGCTTTCCATTGATGTATGGTTTGTTAGGATAGGACAATATTTGAAAATCTGGAATCTGAGGGTGCAAAAAAAATCTAAATATTGAGAAAATCATCTTTAAAGTTGTTCAAATGAAGTTCTTAGCAATGCATATTACTAATCAAAAATTAAGTTTTGATATATTTACAGTAGAACAATATCTGCATGGAACATCATCTTTACTTAATATCCTAATGATTTTTGGCATACAAGAAAAATTGATAATTTTGACCCATACAATGTATTGTTGGCTATTGCTACAAATATACCCCAGCGACTTAAGACTGCTTTTGTGCTCCAGGGACACATACTATTACTTTTACTACTAAATCTCATTGAATGCCTTTCTCAGTCTTGAGCCGTATTCGGCGGTAATCGTTTCTCAGGGGGACGTCAGTTATTTTCAGCATTTACGAGGGGTAATCTGTGATTTTACTGCCGTCCGAATCCAGGATGTAGGTGTTTATCTCTCACCACCTACGTAAAAATCCCCGGCCGAATCACCTACGGTTTTCTGACAAACACTAAGGTCGTGTGGCAATTTAATTGCCGTCTGAATCCACATCTCTGAGTTTACGAGAAGAAATCGATTCAAAATTATAAAATTTTCAAAATAATGCAAATCCTTTTTGACCACTGCCAAACACCGTACTTTTGTACTTCGCTCTAATCTGCATACATATTTATTTATGAAATGCTGGAAAGTATTTACAAGAACAATATTTCATAACTGCTCCACCACAGCGACTGGGAGCAGAAAGAGAAGAAAAACAAGTAAACATTAAAAAAATGGGTCTTTATTATGGCAGCAGCAGGCATGCGGTACAATTTAAAAATGTGTATTATATACAGTTATATACATAACTATTTCGCATATAATTATATACAACTATAGTGTGTCTATTTTTCTATTTGTAAACTAGAGATTTAAATAATCATGTGTGAGCCTGGAGCACAAAAGCAGTCATAAGCAGCACAGGTATATTTGTAGCAATAGCCAACAATACATTGTATGGGTCAAAATTATTGATTTCTCTTTTATGCCAAAAATCATTAGGATATTAAGTAAAGATCATGTTCCATGAAGATATTTTGTAAATTTCCTACTGTAAATATATCAAAACTTAATTTTTGATTAGTAATATGCATTGCTAAGAACTTCATTTGGACAACTTTAAAGATGATTTTCTCAATATTTAGATTTTTTTGCACCCTCAGATTCCAGATTTTCAAATATTGTCCTATCCTAACAAACCATACATCAATGGAAAGCTTATTTATTCAGCTTTCAGATGATGTGTAAATCTCAATTACAAAAAATTGACCCTTATGTCTGGTTTTGTGGTCCAGGGTCACAAATAATAAATAGAATTATATATTATAAAATATGCTTGGTATAATCCACTGTGAATAAATCATCATCCGAATCCATGAGTTTTATCACTGAGGTGCCATGTACATTTATTTTTACAGACGTCCACATGAGAAACGATTACCGTCCGCATCGGGCTTTAGCCTGTAGTTCCACATTAGCGCCTGTATGAGGCTGCTAGCTCATGGTGCTAGCGGAGAGGCTCATTGGTGTGTGCTCTGAAGCTGAGATGATGTCACTGAGTCACATGTTGTTGTTGTGCAGTAACTATAATGCGATGGACACCGCGTCTGCCGTGGCCATCGCCCTCATGACCTTTGGCACCATGTACCCCATGAGCGTGTACAGCGGGAAGGTGCTGCTGCAGGTGTGTTTCAGTGTGCCATGCTGTGATTAATCCTGTGTCATATGTACCGATGAAACGATATCACGATACGGTATTATTGCGATATGACATCTACGATACGATTTATCGTGATATTTAAAAAGGAAAAAAAAAAGACATGAAGAATTGGGAAAAATTAAAATTTTGTACATTTTAAAAAGTTAAATTATTCTATCTAGTGCACTTTGAGAGTTCAAAATTACGAGCTGAAACCCATGTTCTTAACTTAGAAAACTGAAGTCAGAAAAAGTCAGTGAATTGTCTCGTACCTGAACTTTAAAGTGGACTCAAGCCTCTTTTTATTTGTGATCTACTGTCTCAGTCTAAATCACATTCACACTGGAGTTTGAGGAAGCCAAACTAATTAGAATATAATAATAATAATAATAATAATAACAATTACAGTAGTAGCCATATGTTGTAAAATGATTGCACTGTAAAATAAATGAAAAGGAATATTTCATAGGTATATTATTTGTGCTTTACACTACAGCAGGGAAATGACAATACTTCTTTCATTTCTACACTTGAAAGAGATATTTTGAATTTGGACTGCGTTTAAACCGCTAGCTGTCAGCGATTCATGCTGCACTTTAAAGCTTTTATTTAGAAGTTAAACTCCAGCTTCAGTGAAAACAGACTTACAAAAACACGTCTGACTACAAATCTAGAGAAACGCTGTAATCATCTGCCGCTGAAATAAAGCATAACTGTTGTTCCCAAACGAGCGCTAAACTCACAGCAGTGAAATAAAGGAGTGGACTGCATTCATTCAGTGTGAACGAGTCGTTCTGAGACGCAGAAAACACCGGATCACGAGCTGATCATCTGAACCAAGTGTGCGCTTCGCTTTGAAACACGCAGCGCAAACAGACTTGATGAAGCATATTGTGCTTTCGGTTCGAGTTCGTTTGACAGCTACTGTGCCAAAGCATAATGCCCCAAAACACATATATTTTAAAAACTACAATTTTTGCCCTGAAGACCTATCGTTTCATATCGTCATGTGACCACGATAATATCGAGACAGTTTTGCTATCGTGATATTGATAATACCGTTCCATCCCTAGTCACATGTGTGGTCAAATGATCTGGAACTGTCCAATCACAGTTGTTCTCTCTTTCCCGCAGACCACCCCCTCTCATGTCATTGGTCAGCTTGACAAACTGCTCCGAGAGGTCAGTTCATATTCACTTATCACAGCCCACATAATCTATCCGATGTATTTCTGAATATCTGTGGTGCAAGTGTGTTTTCGTGCCGCCAGTTCTCTCGTTTTTATTTGGCAAGCTCTTCAACAGATTGGTTCTTGGTGTTTTTCAGGTGTCCACATTGGATGGAGTTCTTGAAGTCAGAAATGAACACTTCTGGACTATTGGCTTTGGCTCTCTGGTGTGTAGATATTCTTTCCTGTATTTGTAGCACACATGTACTGTTAAAGAATGCTGGAATGATTTGGCCTGACACAGGTTTTGGGTTTGTTTTTTGTTTTGTTTTTTTCATGAAGATATTGTAGAAGTAATCAATATGAATCGAGCCAATTTATTCAATTTAGGCTTTTGTTCACAAATAAACATCTACACACCTTAACTACAGTAAACCAATGAGGCACGTCAGGCGAGTACGCTTGAGCCGCTGTTGACCATATTAAGCTATAGATTCACAAAAGTCTAATGCAAATATCCTGATAGTTCTCGTGGTTGGACCACAGTGATGATGATGATGATGATGATGATGTAAAAGTAATTAAATCGCTTGATAACACATGCCTGAATCTAACAAAAGTGAAAGTAACAAACCCCTTTTAAGGACTTATGTACTATAATGTATAATTTTTGCATTATTGACACTATTTTCCTATTTGATGCTGTAAAGCTGCTTTGACACAATCTGTATTGTTAAAAGCGCTATATTTGACCTTGGACCACAAAGCCAGAAAATCAAAATTTTGAGATGTATGCATCATCTGAAAGCTGAATAAATAAGCTTTCCATTGATGTATGGTTTGTTAGGATAGCACAATATTTGAAAATCTGGAATCTGAGGGTGCAAAAAAATCTAAATGTTGAGAAAATCTCCTTTAAAGTTGTCCAAATTAAGTTCTTTTGTTTTTGGGTCTGGTTTTGTGGTCCAGGGTCACATATAAATAAAGGTGGCTAGACTTGACTTGACATGTGACCCTGGAGCACAAAACCAGTCATAAGTCTCAATTTTTTGAAATTGAGATTTATGCATCATCTGAAAGCGTTGGCTGAGATGCAACTATTTGAAAGTCTGGAATCTGAGGGTGCAAAAAAATCAAAATATTGAGAAAATCTCCTTTAAAGTTGTCCAAATGAAGCTCTTAGCAATGCATATTACTAATCACAAATTAAGTTTTGATATATTTACGGTAGGAAATTTACAAAATATCTTCATGGAACATGATCTTTACTTAATATCCTAATGATTTTTGGCATAAAAGAAAAATGTATAATTTTGACCCATACAATGTATTGTTGGCTATTGCTACAAATATACCCCAGCGACTTAACACTGCTTTTGTGCTGCAGGGACACATGAGAGGCCTGATCACTCAACTCTTCAGTAAAAATGCTCACATGAGGCTTCAGATAGGAGACCTTAACTCGCTGTGTTTTTGCGCAGGCCGGCTCCGTTCACGTCCGCATTCGCAGAGATGCTGACGAGCAGATGGTTTTGGCCCATGTGACCAACCGGCTACACACACTAGTGTCCACTCTGACCGTTCAGATCTTCAAAGACGACTGGGCCCGTCACTCGCTGACCTCCAGCACCCTGCCCACCGGCTCGCTCAGCCTCTCGGAGTACGTGGCTTCGGCCGCCTTCCCTCCAGCAGGGTCCAAACCGCTCGAGGAGTTGAACCCGGTCACGTCTACGCCTGCGAAGCCCAGCAGCCCTCCGCCAGAGTTCTCCTTCAACATGCCGGGGAAGCACATCCAGCCCGTGGTGTTTCAGCACAGGCCCTTCAACACGCCGCTCTCCTATGGGATGTCTCCCTACTCCAGCATGCTGAACCAGGGCTTTGCGCACCCCAGCGGCGGCCCTGCGACGAGGCTGGGCTTCGGGGCTCAAGGATACAGGACTCTGAATGCAGCGCCGCACAGATACGGCAGCGGTCTGCCCGCATCACAAACTGGCCAACAGAGACCGTGAGCCGATCACAGCATCATCTCGCCGCTAGCCCACCACTACCCTGAGTATTTATTTGAATGGGACCAAGAGCAACAGCTTTATTTTCAATGGATGTTTTATCTGTATTCTTTATTTGTATTAAACCACTATCAGACATCTGTGAAGTCTGTGTTTTTTTACAGACCCTGCATCCCAATGTTCATACTATCCATCCTAAATAGTATGTGAGATTAGAATAAGTGTGTCCCAAAACATAGTATGTTGACAAGAGTATGCTTAAAGTCCTTGGATGGTCTAGGGCTACCCTCGACTAAAAATTTGTCTGGTCGACTAGTAGTCATTCATTTGAAGCATTAGTCGACTAATCACATGTTTATTAATAAACAATTTAAATCGTAATAATGCGCCTTTAATTGCATGCATAGCCTAATAAGCGTTTAAGCGAGCGCATAAAGCTTGCCACAGCACACCGGCAGAAGTAATGATTATGAATGTGTCGGGAAAAACAGTAAGGAGGCTGTTTAAACATTTTAATAATTCATTGATAAACTAGTGCTTTCTTTGTTTTCGGTTTAAGAGATCGGCGACACTGACTTGTTATCTCTGCAGTAGTGGATGCGCCTGAATATTTTGTCTTCCATTTGAATTGGTTTATTGGAAATTAGACATTTAGCTATCTATAGATATAGGCCTATGTAGATATATTTTTCATGTCTGAAAGGCAATAGAGGAGGTTCAGAGTTTCGTGCTCAGGTTCACGGAGACCGAGACGGCAGAAAGCGCATCCTGTTTGCTTTCATTATTTTACAAAAGCGCAATGTTTTGTTATTGTGAGTGCACACAAATAAACGTAGAGTCTTTACAGATTCGAAAGATGTATTACTCTTATCTGTATGAGCACAAATGAGGGAGTATTTTAAGAGCAAGTGAGCGCAGCGGCGCCTCCATCTATTTTTTGAAGTGTGGATCCGTGCACACTCTAATGGCTAATATTGCCCACAATACATTGCGCTTTGGCAAAGGATTCGGTCCAGAACTACAAACACGAATAAAACGCGTTAAAAAAAACTACAAACATTGAGGATGTGCATGACCGACGGTTAGGTAGAGAGGTGAGAGGTTTAGAAAAGGGTTTGAGTTACTAATAATAAACATTTAACCTGGTAAAAAAATATTTATTTAATGTTATCTGTGTTCTATTTAATCTGCAACAGCAATGTGAACTTTTATAAACATCCGTTTGATTGTTAACTTTTAAATGCATCAAGCATAAAATATGAGCAGAGTTGTCGGCATGAAAGACCCGCCACTGGCAGATCACGAGCTACTTCTTTTCTCTCCAGTACGGTAGGAAGTTCAATTAAATGTGGAGCATGTTAATGTGACAGGATGATTGACAGGCCAGTTTACAGTAAAAGGGTGTGTGTAACTATGCGACAGAGTAAAGATGCAGTTGTGTGACGTGATAGTATGTCCCAAAGCTTGCCTACTCTTCTACGGCACACTCAAGAGTGTTTACTTTTTCCTCACCAAAAGAGTAGATGCTTTAAGGGCGTAGTACCTTTCACGTTGGGACGCAGCAGATGTCTTCAATATGAAGATAGATCACTTAAGGCTGTTCACACCAAGAACAATAACTATAATAACTATTTTAGCATCCACACCAACAGACCATAAAGTTATGTTCAGCTCTGTACAGGAGGAACCGCACTGTTTCTCAGTTCTGAATAGTGTGCTGTCTGGTACAGTGCTGCAACAGTATGGATTATAAAGTATGTCCTTTAAAACAATCTGTTAAGATAATTACATTGGGTTACATACTGAATTGATTTCAGATACATTTTGAATTACTTTCAGTTGCATTTTAAATTGTTACATTGTAAATTAAACTATATTTAAAATAAATTTTGAAGAATTAATAGTCTATATAATGTTACAAACATGCCAATACACTGTAAAGAGTTCAGTAATATTTCAAAGGATGTCCCTATCCCTCTTAACCATTTGTGATCTTCATCATGTGTGTGTTAGGGATCCCTGGAAAACTGCTATATTAAATGTAAACAATCAATTCAAGCTTCAGGTTACAGATAATAAAAATGTAAAATATAACAATGAACTGCCAGAAACTGTCAGGTTTATTACGATACATGGCAATCTAAAATTGGGAACTGTATTTAAAATACTTTATATCAAGTGAAGACGTTCCTATCACAGCAAACACCTATCAGAGCCACAGATGCAAACAAACGTGGATTACCGGGGGCTCTGTTTTTACTATCTCTTAGGAGTTATAAAAACCTGAGATCTACGGAGTTTAAAGCTAAACTCTAACTTAGCCCTGCTATTTTAGTGCTGATCAAATCGGTGCAGCAGCGTTATCCAGTTTTATTAGCTAGATTTAGAAGACGATAGAACAATACGCACCCTAAAGTTGTCGATGTAACTGGAAACGTTTAATGCCCTTCTCCGTGCGATGAAATTCATTTACAGTAATCCGGGGAAGTTCTTGTAAGCTGAAAAATCATCTTCTCCTCTTGTCATTTTGAAAGCTCTACGTAAGGAACAATGGCTTTCGGCACAGCACCGGATGTAAGTAAGCCCCCTGAGGAAAAACGCGGAAGTGACCGTGCATAGAGTCCATTGTTCGCAAGAGCAGAGCTAAACTGTCCAAATCAAAAATAATATTGATTTGTTTTCTGCTCGATTCATTAATTGATACATTAAGATTACCAGGATATCAAAACATTCAGTAAAAACACATTGTTCATTTAAAAATCGATTACACGTATTAAGATCAATCACTTACATTGAGAATTTCTTGTGGCGTACCGAGGAAATATCGGTGTTTAACTGTCAGCACTGCCCCCTAGTGGTCGGGAGCATTTCCATTGTGTTCTGGCTTCATTTCGTTGTGTTGCACACTACTGGGCCACCGTAGATAAAAGCTTGAGGTAAGCAGTTTTATGTTTTAGCGCCATGCCGCGTTGATTTCATGTCGCAATTTTATTGGTTGGTCAGTAAACGCGGGTCGGAGCAGCAAACACACTGTGCGATGATCATGCTGTATCGTAGGCTATCTTTGGTCGCACTGTACTGTACGACACAGGACCACCTATTAAGAGCCACAATCACAGAAATCGTCAAGATTGTTTCACGATGCCAATCAATTTTGGACAGCCAAAACTTCGATCCTGGAGAGCCACAGTCCTGCAGAGTTCAGCTCCAACCCTAATCAAACACGCCTGAACAAGCTAATTAAGGTCTAAGGGTTACTAGAAAGGCAGATGAGGTTTGATCAAGGTTGGAGCAAAACTCTACAGGACTGTGGCTCTCCAGGACCGACGCAGGCCACCCCTGATATACACGCATGAATTGATAGGAAGACTATTCTTCAATTCTGCTTGCTAATTCTATCCAGTCTTTCAGCTGCTCCCGTTAGGGGTCACCACAGCAGAATTAGCCACACAGCTACTTCATGGACTCCATTGTTCAGTGTCCCATTCACCCAACCTGCATGTCTTTGGATTTTAGGAAAAATCTGGAAACCCATGCTGACGTAGGAAGAAAACGCAAACTATATGTACAATCTCTCCTGACTCAGCTGGGAATCGAACTGGCATCCTTGATTACACAAGCTAATTCTAGATTTCCAATATCAGTAAAAAAAAAAAAAAGTGATCGTTCACTTCATTGTAGATAATGATCTACACATTAAAGTGATTTTACTCTATGAACTGTGAAGTTCGGCATTAAACAGAATTGTTTTCTCTGTTTTATCTACAGCTCTGAAAAAAATAAGACACCACTCCAAATGTTTCTTAAATCAGCATCTCTACATGGCAGCCACTCCATTCCAGTGTCTATTGAATTCCAGCACAAGCACACCTCATGCTGCTTAATGAAATACTGATTAGGTGATCTCCTCAACCAAATCTTATTTAATGAGGAAAAGTATTAAAACCACTGCTATTCGATTTTCACTGGTGATGAGCTGAGTGAACGTGCAAATTCACTCTCTGACATTAGATGGCGCTTAATGAAAAACAGAAAAACACAAGTACACAAGGTGGCACTGCGCAACTTTACGCTTCTGACACTCGCTTGTCACACAGAAGAAGCACAGAGCCAGTATTTATGCACTTGTCAAAACCATTCACACGCTTTTTGTTAACTGGCAACTTTTAACTTTTGTTAAAGCTCTTTGTGTTCAGACACCAATGAGACCAGCAGCTCTACATTCATCTTGCCTCGATGCATCTTCTTCATCTACTTACTTCCTCTTCGTCGTTAGGTATCAAGTGTGTTTGGCAAGACCGTTTTGTGCTTGAGCTCCACCAAGTCGTGTTTTACTGTAACTTCAGCAGCTCCAGGCATGTAAACAAAAGCGCCAATCTCATTAGTCGGCCAGTTTTTAACGCGGCGCATTAAACCAAAAAAACGAGCCCAAGGTGTTTTTTTTTTTAATGATGCTTTTACGCCTGGTGTTTTGCGCGTTGTTGTGCACGCTCACATTGGCGCCCTTTGTTTAGTCACGAGGCGTTAATCGTCCCGGTGTGCACAAGACTTCAGAAATACTGAAAGACTTGGCAACACTTTAAGATCCTGGCAGATCGCAGGCTGGATTTTCGCAGAAAAAAAGGGTTCGGTGAATCTGAAAATGCGCACACAGAAAAAACTGCTACGTATAACGACTTTCAACTTGGGGACCTTGATATAAATGTAGCGGAGTAAAAAGTACGATATTTGTCTTTCAACTGTAGTGAAGTTGAAGTAGCAAGTTTCCAGAAAAAAATAATACTCAAGTAAAGTACAGATACTCAAAAAGTTTACTTAAGTACAGTACTCAGGTAAATGTTCTTTATTACTGTCCACCTCTGGCCCATGCCAAAAGAGTTGAAAAGAATAGTTTTTAGTGAGGAAAAGAAGGGTTCAGTTCTGTCTTTACTGGAAGAGGGATACAGTGAGCGTCAGATTACTTCCAACCTTAAAATTTCAAAGACAGTAGTTCAAAGGTCAAGCTGCAGACATTAGGGACAACAAAGCTACAGACAGGCAGAGGGCGAAAACGACTTTCCACTGACCGGGATGACCACCAACTCATTCGAATGTCACTCAACAAATGTAGGATGACATCAAGTGAGTTACAAACGTAA